TCAGTGCCAAGCTCAGTGCCTCAAGCAGTACAACGGCAATGGCGTCTGCACCGCCGGGATCTCCTCCTCTTTCATCTGCACATGCTTCTACAACTGCGGCTCATCATCATCATCTTCATCCAATATCATTAATTAATACTTCATTCATTTTTTACCTGTACTCTCTAAAATAATATTAATTGTTTGGTGTTTATTATTACTTAAAGAATACTTATTAATAATATATAATTTTGCCTTCACCTACAAACATCTCTGCACAAATGGTTTGGAAATAATTAACTTGATATTGTGATATTATGTTTTTCAAATACGATACTTTGATTCAAATTCTATCGAAGAGTTGCACAAAATTTGTATTAATTGAGATATACAGATTTTGTAATGAAAAATATCGAAATGAGAGTGAATATTGTTGAGAAATAGAGTGTAAGAATACAAAAACTTTTTAGTCCCTCTCACAACATCATCGATCATGTATATATAATATATAGAATTAAACACAAAGAAGCTTCTTATTTAAGCTAAACAAATTGCTTCCATTCAAATGAATTGATACGTTGTCTCCTCGATTCAAAAGTCTCATATAATCTGCAATTAGACACATTCCATGTGGGGTTGGATAGAATAGAATTGTGATTGACCGCCTCTTGATCTTGCTTGCGCTTGTTCGGCCCGGTAAAGCCAACCATCACAATCCGTACGTCTTGTCTTATCCAGAAATCAATCCCGGGCTGTTGAGAGTAACCCGTAGCAACAAGTCTTGCCTTGTGCTTTTAAATGCTTCCATCTTCTTGAAACTTGGTCTTATAGATCCATTTCAATCCAATCACATCCTTATGCTTTGGATAATCCACCAATTGCCACGTTTCATTTTTCTTGATCATTCGAATATCCTCATCTATTGCTTTATGCCGTACTTTTTCTTTTGCAGCATCAACATAACCTCTGGGCTCACAAGTAAAAAGAGAAAAGTCAAAATTTTTCATAAAAAGTTCCTGCAATAGCCGTGTCCGTCTTACGGGTGATTCCGGACTAGATTCCATAGCATCTTGACGAGTCAATGAAGTGGGTATTGGATTTTGTGGTTGTGAGAGTTCAGCAGGGTCATCATCAAGTTGAGATTGCTCAAAGAATTCATTGGATGCTGAATTTTGTGTTGCATTTCCAACCCAATTCCACACAGCAATTTCATCAAAAATAACATCCCTTGCTACAACAAGCTTGATCGTTATTGGATTGTAGAGACGATATTCTTTCGACTCATCACAGTATCCAATAAAAATCCGTTTCTCACCCTTCTTGTCAAGCTTATCTTTGTTCTGTCTGTCAACATGAGAGTATGCGAATGCTGCCTATTAGGGATTTAAGAGCCTAAAGGTGCGATGAAATTGCGGAAGCGGATCGAAACACAATTGAAGCACAAACAAAATATTGCAAAATACAAAAAGAACACAAGATTTACGTGGAAAACCCAAAATGGGAAAAAACCACTGATGATGAGGAATCCACTAGATGAATCTAATGTTTTCAATGTTACAAATCGAATGATTAACCTCACTCAACCCCCAAAAACAATCCCCTTATCGGTATCTATGCAAAAGGGGAAGTTTTGATCTTCTAACATGGAAGGTAAATCAAATCGATAGAAATCACCAATATATGGAAGGATGAAGATATGAAATCTTAGGATATCACTCCTTAATCACGCCTATGACTCTACTGATTTGGTGCCAAGTCAACCTTGCCATCCTTGTCAGGCCCGTGATTAAAGCCTCCGAAATCTCTTCATTTGACTAAGATATATTAAATCAAATCTAGAACAAGAATGTCCGCCTAGTCATGCCCATGACTAAGGCTGCCGAAAACTTCTGGAAATCTTGCCTTGAAGAGAATTTGAGGTACAATCCCAACAAACTCCACCTTGCCACAAATTCGATTTAAAAAATAAACATCCTCATCACCAAGTCCCAGACGGGACACTCAACAACTGGTAAGATTAACCAAGTCCAAACAATATTGGAACTTGGCAACGGCAAGTGGCTTAGTTAACATATCAGCCGGGTTCTTGGGCGTATGAATTTTATCCACTACGACTTCACCTTTTAAGACCGTATCTCGAATAAAATGGTGCTTCCCAGAAATATGTTTGGTCCTTTCATGATACTGATTATTTTTCGTCAAATGTATTGCACTTTGGTTATCAAAAAATACAGTAAGAACTTTTTGCTCGTAACCAAGCTCTATAACAAGACCTCTTAGCCAACTCGCCTCTTTAACTCCTTCGGTAGCTGCTATATATTCCACCTCGGTGGTCAATAAAGCAGTAACCGACTGAAGTGAAGATTTCCATGAAATAGCACAGCCACATAAAGTGAAAATATACCCCGAAAGAGGACGTCTGCGATCAAGGTATCTACCATAATCCGAATCAACATAACCGGTCACATCCAATGAAATACATTTATTTCTATAAAAAACCAAGCCAAGATGTGATGTATCTTTCAAGTATCGCAAAACCCACTTAACAGCATTCCAATGAGCCTTTCCCAGATTGTGCATATAATGGCTCACAACACTCACAACATGCGCCAAATCCGGCCTAGTGCAAACCATTGCATACATTAGGCTACCAATCGCATTTGAGTACGGAATTTTCGCCATGTCCTCAACTTCATCTTCTGAGCAAGGACTCAAGTTTTCGCACAATCTGAAATGCGCAGCCAAGGGAGTAGATACAGCTTTGCAAGATTGCATATTAAATTGATCGAGTACCTTATCCACATACTGCATTTGGAACAGAAATAACTTTCCGCCTTTTCGATCTCTAATTATTTCCATCCCAAGAATTTTCTTCGCAGTGCCCAGCTCTTTCATATGAAACTCATTACTAAGCTGCGATTTCAACTTAACAATAGAAGACATGTTACGTGAGGCAATCAACATGTCATCGACATAAAGCAACAAGTATAAAAATGAACCGTCAGAGAACTTCTGAAAATAAATACAGTTGTCATACTTGCTGCGAGAATAACCTTGCCCAATCATAAATGAATCAAACCTTTTGTATCACTGCCGCGGGGCTTACTTCAATCCATTAAGCGATTTCTGTAATTGGCACACCAAACTTTCCTTTCCGGAAATGACGAAGCCCTCGGGCTGCTCCATATAGATTTCTTCCTCAACGTCACCATGAAGAAAAGGCCGCCTTTACATCAAGTTGCTCCAATTCCAAATCAAACATAGCAACAATACCAAGAAAAACACGAATAGAAGTATGTTGAATAACGCTAGAGAAAATTTCAGTGAAGTCTATACCTTCACGCTGACTGAAACCCATGACAACTAGCCGTGCTTTGCAACGAGGCTCTTCAACCCCCGAAATGCCTTCTTTTTTCTTATATATCCACTGACAACATAGAGGGCGCCTACCATTCGGAAGTTCAATAAGATCCCAAGTGTCATTCTTGTAGAGACTTTGAATTTCCTCTTTCATTGCCATAAACCAACTAGGAGATTCGGCACAAGAAGTTGCTTCATCGTAATTTTTTGGTTCACCGACATCACCAAATTCTTGTGCCACGAACAGAGCATATGCCACCACAGAATCCTCTAAAAGTCTGGAAGGAGGATGAATTTGTCTCCTAGGGCGATCTCTGGCCATTGCATATCATGTCTCACTGGAGCATTCAATGTGGTATTCAAACTAGATTCATCAACTTGCGGGTTAGAAGAGCTAGGAACATCAGTAGTGGGTCGGAACATCATTGGCAACTCCACCTTCTCTCTAAATTGCTGCTGGTCATTTGACGAGGACGTCGAACCTGCAGTTGAACCATTTCCAGAAGACAACATAGATTTTATGTCCACTACAAAAAGAATCTCAAATTGCCACAGAATATTGCTACGGAATACAATCTATTGTAGAATTGCAACGGAATTTGCTAAGCAAACAGGAGATGGTCGCAATTGTAATATATTGTGAGAGAATGTGCAATAGAATAGATATGTCACAGAAATTTTAGGAACTATACAAGGAATATTGCATTCCGTTGCAAAATTACGATGAAAATAGCAATATATTAATCGCGTTGCAAATTTTTCACAAATTATGCGACAAATATTATATTCCGTTGCGAAATTATGACGAAAATAGCAACAAATTAAATCCATTGTAGAATTTCAAAAAATTTACAAGGAATATTACATTCTATTGCAAAATTGTGACAGAAATAACAACCTATTAAATCCGTCACAATTGTGCAAAAGAATATGTCACAAATTAATCTCTCACAGCCCCTTATAATTTAATATAGATTTGCCCAACTGTTTGAACCGCCATTATAGTTTGAAACCGTCGATTTTGGTTTATCAAAATATCAAATCGAAATCGAATATTTTGAATCATAATTTCGATTTCGGTTTGACGATTTCAGTCAAAGTTTTGAAATCGACTATTTTGGTTAAGAACCACCGGTTCCAATTTAAAACATTAATCTATATTTATTCGTTTTTAATATTTTTATTTTTTCTAAGCTTTCATTTTAGTAAAAAATAATATAATTTAAATACATATTATGAGTTATTTATTATATAAAAATTATATAGATAATAATAATTGATTACATTATGACAATATAAAAATAATTAAACTAATAAATCTAATAAATAATTAAATTTAATTTAAATTAAAAAGTAATTATGCAAATATTAATGTCTTATATAATAACTTAATTTAATTTACACTAAATGTAATTTTATAATAATAATTTACTATAAAATTAAAAAAAAAACCATTAATAAATATTTATTTTTTTTAATATTAATATTATTTTAATTTTATAAAAATTTAATAACATATAATAAAAATTCTTTTGTCCATATATTAAACAAAATTACTGGAGTCACCTATGTGTTCACAGTAATTCTTCAACATAATCTGCACAAATTAATCTCTAGCACCCTTGTTATTTAATCCCAAAATCCCTAAATCTACTTTCAAGATGGGACAAAATGGCGAGTCGAAGGATGATCAAGCAGCCAGGCATCAGGAGGTTGGGCACAAAAGCCTTCTGCAAAGTGATGTTCTTTACCAGGTATAGCCTAGGATTGTGCCTTTTGGTGTTTTTCGCTTTGCCATTTTGTTAGGTTAATATTTTTCGATCGAGTGTGTCTATTTGGTATTTTGAAGACAAATATAGTTGGTTGCGGCATTTTTGGGAGGTTGATTCAATCTCCTTCCATATTGTTTTTCGGTTTAGTTTGTTCAATCGATCGAATCCAGATTATGCTTATGAAACTTCCTTCTGTTTTTTGTGTTTTTTGGAGAATCTCATTTCGTCATTTTAATAGATGAGGAATGTAGGAATGATGCGAAATTGTATTGAATATCTTATCGAATTAGTCACTTTTACTGCTGTTATCTTACCTTTTATGATTTGATTTGATGTGATTCGTTACTTTCGCCAAACAGTAAATTCTGGAAACCAGTGTTTATCCAAAAGAGCCAGAGACGATGAAAGGGCTCAGAGAAATTACCGCCAAGCATCCTGGTGAGTCGCAATCAAATTGTTTCATTAAAATTGTCAATGAAATGAAGTAGATCTGAATATTGGGTTGAATTTACATAGGAATATCATTACTAGATTTTCGGATGAGGGGCAGTTTCTTAACATGCTTCTGAAGCTGATTAACGCTAAGAAAACGATGGAGATTGGAGTATACACTGGGTACTTGCTTTTGGCCACCGCCCTTGCTCTTCCGGATGACGGTACAATATGTTGCCAAAACCAAAATAAATCGACCTTTTTTTTTCTGTTACTATTTTATAATATAGGAATCTACATAGTACATCCACCACTATTTATGCTCTACTTACAGCTACATGATTCTGTGGAGTTTTCTTTCAATATGACTACTGGGTCTTTGCATTGGGAACTATTGCAAAGAGAAAGGTAAGCAACCGTTGAATACACTACAAAAAAATAATATATTTGTAACGGAATTCCGTTCATAAAGTTCAGGTAGCTAATGTAATTTCATTCCTATTTTCGTCTCTAATGTCATTAGTAACAGAAAAAGTAGATTTAGAGACCAAAAAGTTTTGTTACAAAAATAATTTTTTCTTGTAGTGATACTTTCTAAGATATTTTGTTGTCTTGAATTTTTTTCAAACTGATGATCTGGTTTGTTATCTAGTTTCCGGGCATGGCTGTGGATAATCAGGTAAAATGAGGACACAATAATCATCTCAGAAATAAACTATTCTCAGCTTGATCTCAGGAGGTGAAACATAATAAGAATATTTTGTCTTATATCCATTTTTTTGTGCGAGTTTACAAAGATTTGTTTGGTTCTCACCATGTGCAGAACAAACCTGCCGCTAGAACCACAAGGGCAGGGCGATCATTACCAGCTGATAGATGCCAAGAGGTTGAACTTGAATCCTGAAAACTGATGAGAGGCTGCTGAAAATTTGATTCAGATTCCTATTTGTCTGTTTAGGTAAATACATTATGATCCACTCTATAATCCGATGCACTATAATTCATTAGATAACATTCTTGATCTTTGCTACATATGTTATTATGTTACTCCTTGCTCAGCTTTCGGACCATAAAAGGACAAACTCCTTACATCTGCATTCATGAGTATGAGTATGTATGTATGTTATGTATTACTTTGGTTGATTATCCAATCCAAATTAGTTGTTGTTTGTGCAAGTAAGTTCTTGCGTGTGCTATGTTAGTTATGTAGACTTCTATGATGAAAAGAATGTTTTGAATGCAAGAAAGAATGCATCAAATCAGGTACTTCTTGATGGCTGAATATTGACATGGGATACCTATTGCTAGTGTTATCATTATGTAATTTTCTTATGTCTTTGAATCCAATATAGCATAATAACAACTTGATTTCTTAATTATAAAAATGTGAATTATATTTGTATCAATATTTGAGGTTTTATAAATGACCTCTTGGCTTGTTTCAAGTTACCGTCAATAAAGTTATTGTTTTGTATGACAATGACAGCATAACACCTAGAGGCGTAAAGATTGGTAAGTTTACTATCTCTTGAATATGAACTTGGCATAGCTTCTTTACTTATTACTCATGTGTGGCTATTATAGTTTTTTTTTTTTTTTAAATAATTGTGCTTCAGGTACATTTGCAATGATTTTAAGAGGTCGTTTGAAAGCTTATTTGAAACGAGAGTTGAATTTCTTATTCAAGCGGCTCGTTAGTTCTATATAGAAAGAAAATGGGAACAACAAAGAAATCATTGCAATGGATAGAAGGTCACTAATTATGTGGCAATTTTTTACAACGGAAAATCTTGATTGTCACATTGTATTACTACAATAGTATTTACTACCGCTCCCATTTAGATGCAAATTTCGTTGTAATTGTAAGTTGTGACGGAAATTTTGTCTGTTGTTACAGAATTTTTCCGTAGTAATTTTCAATTTTTTTTGTAGTGGTTAAAAGTGACATCTCGACTCAAAACTACATTGTGTGATTTACCAACCGCGTTCCATAAGATATCCTTTCAACTCAATTGAATATCCAAGGAAAATACACTTCAAAGCTCTCGGAGCTAATTTTCCTATGTCAACATGTATGTACGCGGGACATCCAAAAATACGCAAAGAGGAATAGTCGACCGGGTTACCTGACCATATTTCTTCTGGGATTTTAAAGTCAATAGCGGAGTGTGGAGATCGATTTACCAAATAGCACAATGTCGGAACAGCTTCAGCCCATAAATCACGCCGATTCCATAATCTTGCATTCGAAAGCATACACCGATCTCTCCAATAAAGTCCGATTGACTCGTTCTGCTACGCCATTTTGTTGGGGCTTTCTCGGCAAGGTCTTATGCCTCATAATACCATGCAATGTGCAAAATTCATTGAATTCACCACTGCAAAATTCTAAGCCACGGTCAATTCTAAGAAATTTTATTTTCTTACTCGTAAGATTCTCCACAAAAGCTTTCCACTTCTTGAAAGTGTCGAAAGCTTCATCATTCCGCCTCAAGAAATACACCCAATTTTTCTGGGAAAAATCCTCAATCAATGTCATAAGGTATCTTTTCCTGGTAAATGATGGAACCTTCGACGGTCCCCACAAGTCGGAGTGAATATAATCGAGCACGCCATGTGCACGATCAGAGGCAATAGAGAAAACGACCATCTTTTGCTTTCCGAAAATGCAGTGTTCACAAAATTCTAAATTTGTGATTCCTTGATCACCAAGAAGACCTCGAGAGCTTAACATCTTCATTCCTTTTTCACTCATATGGCCCAAACGCAAATGCCATAATCGAGTGAAATCTGAATCATTGATCGATTAAGCCGCTGCTCTTGAACCCGATATGGTATGACCTTGTAGGATGTATAAACATCCAACCCGATTTGCCTTCATAATTGTTCTAGATTCTATAGACACCTTCAAAACTCCACCTGTAGCCGAGAACTTATAACCAAGCGAGTCCAAAGTTCCAAGAGACATCAAATTCCTTTTGACATCAGGAGCGTATCAAAGATTCGTAATAGTACGAGCGCAACCGTCGTGAGTCTTTATTTGAACTGAACCAATGCCAAGGACAGAGCATTGAGCATCATTCCTCATCAATACTACACCGCCATTCTTTGATTCGAATGTAGTAAACCAGTCCCGATTGGGACAAAGATGGAATGTGCATCCGGAGTCCAAAATCCACTCGTTCTTAACTCGAGTTTCTGATGCCTCTACAGGTTTCTTTCCTTTCTCGAATCTTTCATTCTTGTTTTCCAACTTTCAGTAATCAGAAATAACATGGCCATACTTCTTGCAATATTGCAACTCTTATGCGCGTTCGATTCCCTCGACTTAGACCGATATTTTTTCTTGCCTCCATTAGCTTTCAACATAGACCTTCCCCTCACAATCAAACCTTCATCGTTGTCATTCGATTGTCCACCAAAATCAAATTTTTCTTTCAACAACAAATTTGATTTCACTTCATCAAATCAAAGAGTTTCTTGAGAACCATAAAGCATTATTTCTCGAAAATACTTGTAGGAAGGAGGTAACGTGACAATCAACAACATGGCTTTATCTTCATCATCAATTGTAACATCCAAATTTTCCAAATCCATGAGAATTCTATCAAATTCATTGAGATGAGATTGGATCGGAGTACCTTCGGGCATTCGAATTGTATAAAGGCGTTCCTTCAAACGAAGTTTGTTGGTAAAAGACTTTATCATATACTGAGTCTCCAGCCTCAACCACAGCCCTTGTGCGGTAGTCGCGTGAGCAACCTCACGCAGGACTTCTTTCGACAACATAAGTTGTATTGCAGTCAATGCCTTCTCATCCAATTCAGCCCACGCATCGTCATTCACCCCTGCACTCTCCTGTCCATCCAATGCCTTATTCAATCCGTTCTGAACTAAAAAATCGCCCGCATCTTTTCCAAATAGCATACGAAATCTTGCCATCGAACTTCTCAATTTTGAATTTTGCAATCGACATCTTCAACCGTTTAATGCTCTGATACCACTTGTTAGGGATTTAAGAGCCTGAAGGTACGATGAAATTGCGGAAGCAAATCGAAACACAATTGAAGCACAAACAAAATATTGCAAAATACAAAAAGAACACAAGATTTACGTGGAAATTCCAAAACGGGAAAAAACCATGGACGATAACGAATCCACTAGATGAATTGAATGTTTTCAATGTTAAAAATTGAATGATTAACCTCACTCAACCCCCAAAAACATCCCCTTTATCAATATCTATGCAAAAGGGGAAGTTTTGACCTTCTAACATGAAAGGTAAATCAAATCGATAGAAATCACCAATATATGGAAGGATGGAGATATGAAATCTTAGGAAATCACTCCTTGATCACGCCCATGACTCTACTGATTTGGTGCCAAGTCAACCTTGCCATCTTTGTTACACCCATGATTAAAGCCTCCGAAATCTTTTGATTTGGCAAGATATATAAAATCGAATCCAGATCAAGAAAGTCCGCCTAGAAGAGAATTTGAGGCACAATCCCAACACTGCCAAAAATCTTAAAGTGATTAACCATCGGTTTCCTTTCATGCCACGCCTCAAATGGAGTTCGATTTTTCACCGCCTTTGTAGGACATCGGTTCAGGATATAGATGGCTGTGTGAACTGCTTCATCCCATAAAGTTTTAGGCAAGGACTTTCCGATCATCATGCTGTTAATATTATGTGGTCTATTTGAAGTAGTGACCTATGTGAAAGGTCTTCACTACTCCACTATCCCCACTACTCCACTTCATTACTGATGTTAATGTGACATATGTGGAAGGTCTTCACTACTATCCCCACTACTCCACTCTTCGTGTTGGTTACTTCTTTGATGGAATGAAGTAATTGAGACATGAATTTTAGACTCTTTTGGTCCCCTAAGCATCACTATGTAAAGTCTTCTACACCATCTAGAAAAGATAATGCAAGTGCTTAGAAGAACAAAGAAAGATTGCATTCGATTTTGACACCAATGGCCGGAGGTATGTTTTTGGGATTCATTTTAGTTTTGATTCTTAAGTTTTATTCCGCATTGGATCGATTATTGTGCTTACACATGCTCCTCGCCATTTCAGCAATGATTTGGTTCTTTCTTTCTTCAACACCATTTTTTTGAGGGCTGCTTCGATCAGTAAGTTGCCTTTGAATTCCATGTTCTTCACAGTACTTCATGAAAGGAGTGTAGATAAACTCTCCCCCACAATCAGTCCGAAGAGATTTAATTTTCCAATCACTTTGATTTTCCACCAAAGCCTTAAATTTGTGAAATACGGAGAAAGCTTGTGATTTTTCACTCAAAAAATAAACTCATATCATTCTGGTATAATCATTAACGAACAAGAGAAAGTACTTTTTTCCACGAAGAGAATGATTTCGAGAAGGTCCCCAAATGTCCACATGAATAAGCTCCAATGGTTCTCTTGCTCGTCAAGTTGTCTTTCGAAATGGAAGTTGATGCATCTTCCCATAAACACAACCTTCACAAATCTCCTCCTTCAGATTGATTTATGGTAGACAAACTACCATCTCCTTTTCTTGAAGAAGTTGCAGCCCCTTGTTGTGTAGATGCCCATGAATCACAAATGCCATAAACAGGATTGTTCAATGCTTTCTCCAGCATAGACTATATTTTCTCCAAGAGGTATAGCCAATGAAAAAACTCTGTTGGGACTTATTTGGATTGCAGCAACTGAGCAATTATTTTTCTTGTAAAAAGTTCTGCATTTTTGCTCATCAAATGATACCGAGTAACCTCTTTGAAGAAGTTGGCCAACACTCAACAAGTTGCTTGTTAAGTTTGGCACATAGAGTACATCTTCAATAAGCTTACGAGCGCCTCCTTTGCTTTGCACAACAATTGTTCCATTTTCTTAATTTTTATGCAGTCGACCATCGCCAAGTTTTACTTCCGATGTGAAGTTATGATCGAGATCATCAAAAAATTCTCTATTCCCGGTCATGTGGCTGCTACACCCTTTATCAATGTACCAAATATGCTCGGAAGATTGTTTAACTGTCGTGCACAAGAAAAGTTGTTTGCCTTCTACCTTTGAGAAGTTAGCATCATTCCTCTGCGCCTTTTCTTGATACCAACAGTCCCGATGAGAATGGTTGGCATTTCGGCATCTTCTACATTTGAAACGCCAGTCCTTCGTGTCATGGTTTGTCTTTTTGAAAATTCGGCAGCAAGTTTCAGAATTTGTAACTTGGATATCTGCACTTCTTTCTCCGGGTTTATGGTTTGGACCTCTTCCTCTTCCTCGTTTCTGAAAAATGCCTCCTCTTCCTCTTTGATGGCAATTTGAATTTCTAGTACCCGACACATTCACCTTTGATTCAAAAGCTTGCTCCAGTGGCTGCTGAGATGATTTGCTTATTCTTTCTTCATGGACCTGTAGTGAACGTGACAACTCATTGAATGCAAATATTGACAAGTCCTTTGATTCCTCAATAACCGCCACGACGTAGTCATATTTGGATGGTAGACTATGCAAAACTTTCTGCACAACTTTCCTCTAATCGATTGTGTCACCGAGGCTTCTAATTTGGTTTACAATCTCTGCAACTCGAGTGAGATAGGCCTGCATACCTTCACTTTCTTTCTTCATAAGATTATCGAAATCTCTCCAAAGAGATTGCAACTTGATTGAGGTGACTTTGTTGTTCCCTTAGAAACCTTCTTTCAAGATTTCCCAAGCTTGCTTTGCCCTTTTTACTCAATGGATTCTTGGGTAAATGGTTTTACTCAGACCTCGCTGGATGAATTTGAGCACACAAGCATCCCTCTTTATATTTTTCTTGTACTCTGTTGAGCATCAGTCTTGTTTTCAGGTGGTATCTGATATTCTTCTTCCACAACATCCCATAAACCTTGGGATAGAAACAAGGTCTCCATTTGACTGCTCCAATAATCAAA